GAGATTATCTGGACCCTTTTCAGTCAGGTTTCAGGCCCAGTTATGGAACAGAAGCAGCATTGGTTGCACTTATAGATGATCTCTGGCAGGAGCGAGATGGTGGAAGTGCAACCATCCTTGCTCTCCTTGATCTCTCAGCGGCTTTCGATACTGTCGACCATGGTATCCTTTTGGGACGGCTCAGGGAATTGGGGGTGGGCTGCATGGTTTTGTGCTGGTTCACCTCCTTTCTCCAGGGCCAATCCCAATCGGTGGTGATAGGAGGCGAGAGGTCCCAGCCCCTGCCCCTCCTTTGTGGGGTGCCGCAGGGTTCAGTTCTCTTTTTGCTCCTTTTTAACATCTACATGAAACTGCTGGGCAAGATCATCCGTCATCATGGGATGAGGTATCATCAATATGCTGATGATACTCAATTATACATCCCAGGTGAGGTAAGTGATGCCTTGACTGCCCTTTTGTGGTTCCTGGAGGCTGTAAGGTTCTGGATGGGAAACAGGCTTCAGCTGAACCCTGGTAAGACGGAGTGGCTGTGGGTTAATGGCTCCTCTGTATCCGGGACTTTGTCATCATTGGTGCTGGATGGGGTAGCACTGCCTCAGACAGACCCAGTGTGCAATATGGGGGTCCTCCTAGACTCATGGCTCCTGCTCGAAGAGCAGGTGGCAGCTGTGGCAAGGAGGGCCTTCGCACAACTTTGGGTTGTGCATCAGTTATGCCCTTTCCTGGATCGGGATGCCCTTCAGTCACTCATGCCCTTGTTATCTCCCATATAGACTACTGCAATGCGCTCTACATGGGGCTACCCTTGAAGAGTATCTGGAAGCTACAGCTGGTCCAGAATGCAACTGCGTGGGCTATTTTGAGAGCCCCAAGAAGGGGCCATGTAATGCCGTTGCTCTGTGAGCTGCATTGGGTACCAGTTTCCCGGGTCCAATTCAAGGTGTTGGTTATCACCTTTAAAGCTCTACATGGCATTGGACCAGGTTACCTAAGGGACTGCCTCTTCCCCATGACTTCAACCCGTCCCACCCGATTACACAGAGAGGGCATGCTTCGGACCCCCTTGGTAAAAGAACTCCAATTAGCGGGATCCAGAAGGTGGGCCTTCTCTGCTATAGCCCCGCTCTTTGGAATATTCTGCCTCCAGAGGTGAGATTGGCCCCCTCACTCCTGGCCTTTCAGAGGGCTTTGAAGATCTGGTTCTGCCACTTGGCCTGGGGTGGGGAGGGAATATATCAAGTGTGGGGATGGAGGCCTGTTGCCTTCAGCCCCAGATCCATCATCTTCTTGGACTTTCTCCTTTTTTAGTAATGTTTTGTTTAAATTTTTATTTTTTATGTATTTATATGTATTTATGGTTTTAATC